CCCTTTAACAAAGACACGATAGCCTGTAGTAGATCTTTTATCAGTTTTGGTTCCAGCCCATGCAGCATCTGCAAAACACTCAATACGAGTATGGCCGTTATTACTATATAATATGCCAAATTCAGGAGCTCCTTTCAAGTAACATAAAATCTGTTCCAAAGTTGACCAATGTTTGACAATTGGTGCGGACATGAACTGACTAACAACACTTACTGCAAAAGCAATATCTTGACGAGTCACAGTGATGTAGTTTAATTTTCCAACTAACCTCCTGTATCTCTCCGGATCATTAAAAGGATCCTCATCATCTTTCATAAGATGCACATCAGGAACCATTGGAGTACTGCAGGGTTTAGCTGCAAGCAAGTCAAGAGTATACTTTCTCTGAGATAAAAGAATTCCCTTCTGGCTTCTATTTACTTCTGCTCCCAAAAAGTATTTCAACATGCGCAAGTCCTTTGTATGAAACCTAGTGTGCAGGAAAGACTTGAGGAAGAAATCCCCGCACAGTCACTTTCTGTGATAAGAATGCCATCAACATATACTACAAGAAGAGTAGTTCCCGTTGCTGATTGCTGATAGAAAACTGAATAATCACACTTGCTCATTTTCAGCCCAAACTCCTGAACTACCTCACTAAACTTGCGAAACCAAGCTCGAGGACTTTGCTTCAAGCCATACAAAGACTTCTTCAAATGACAGACTTTCCCATACCTCCTAAGCAACAAAATCGGGTGGTTGCTCCATATACACTTCCTCCTTAAGATCACAATGAAGGAACGCATTCTTGATATCCAATTGATGTAAAAGCCAATTCTCAGAAGCAACTAGAGAAATAAATAGGCAGACATAAGTGAGTTTAGCAACTGGGGAGAAAGTGTCGAAAAAATCCACCGCATAAGTTTGAGCATACCTTTTAGCCACAAGTCTGGCTTTAAGTCTTGCCAAACCATCTGGATTAACTTTAACGGTAAAGACCCACTTACATCCCACTGGCTTCTTTCTCTTGGGTAAACTCACCAAATCCTACGTGTGGTTATCCTCTAAGGCATGTATTTCCTCAAGCATTGCATCAGATCATCCTGGATGATTCAAAGCTTCCTTCAATGTTTTAGGTACCGAGATGGAGTCTAGAGAAATAATTATAGTTCTAGATGTAGAGGATAAGCGGTCATAGGAAACAAAATTAGCAATGGGATATGTGGATTTGCAAGTACGTGTACCTTTGCAAAGAGCAATAGGAAGGTCAAGGTTTTCTAGTGGATTAGGCGGAGGAGGATCTGATGACGAAGGAACTGTTGCAGGACATGTATCATTTGTCTCTTGCCTCCATTAGTAAACTTGAACAATTGACAGTCTTGCTAACACAATTGGAGCAGGTGCTGAAGGCTTAATAGTTGATTTGGTGCTCAATAAAAGAACTAGGAGATGGAGGAACATTTGGTTCTGTCAAAGCACGGGTAACCTGATATACTAGCCACTCACTTCCTCCCGGATTGTCGAAATAGGAGGTGCATAGAAGAATAGTGTAGTCTCTGAAAATATCACATCAACTGACACTAAATATTTGCCAAGTTCAGTAGAATAACATTGAAACCCCTTCTGAACGCGAGAATAGCCCAAATACACTTCAATGCCTTGGGATCCAACTTGGTAACAGATGATCGAACATTTCGAACATAACATGTGCATCCAAATTCCAAACACCTTAGGTTCCATCGGAGATAATAACTTGTTTGGGAAAAGAACACTATAAGGTACATTACCACCAAGCATAATAGATGACGTGCGATTAATCATAAAACAAGTTGTAGAGACCGCATTAGCCTAGAGCTGTTTAGGAACTTCATTTGGAACAAAAGTGTCCGAGCTGTCACAAGTAGATGCCTATTCTTCCTCTCAGCAACTCCATTTTGAGAGGGTGTGTCAACACATGATGACTGATATAGTATACTATGTTGTCTCATGTAGAAACGAAATAATTCTGACATGTATTCTTTAGTGTTATCACTCCTTAAAATACGCACCAAAGTAGTGAATTGAGTTTTGACTTCAACATAGAAGGCAGAAAAGTGAGTAAACACTTCAGAGCGGCTTTTCATAAAATAAAATCCAAGTCATCGAGAAAAATCATCTACAAAAGTGATAAAATACCTATGCCCGGTTTTGGAAACAGCAGGACATGGTCGCAAACATCAGAATGATCTAACTCAAAAGCTAACTAAACTCGCTTATTAACCCTTGGACCTAATGAGATGCAATGGTGTTTTGCAAATCGACATAACTCACAATCCAATGAAGAAATATTCTGAAACTGAGGCAGAGCTTCTTCAACATAGGTAGACAGGGATGTCCCAATCAATAATGTGCTTTAAAAGGAGACGCAACACTGGAGCATGCAACAGACTGTGACTCTCGTTTATGAAGGATGTAAAGATCACCGGATAAATATCCTTTACCAATAACCTGCTTCGTTGTAAGATCTAAAAACCAACAATGGTCGGGAAAAAAAGCGACATAACAGTGAAGGTCTCCTGTGATTTTGCTAACAGAAATCAGATTAAAGGCCAAGTTTAGTAGACTTAACTGCCTCTCTTCCTTCATGGTAGGGGTAAGGTCTGCATACACATTACCCTCTCCAGACCCAACAATTGCACTAGGTTTGTTGTTGTTGTTGTTGTTTGATAGACTTAATACAGATGACAGGGTAATAGAGGAAATTAGTTTACCGTCCCAAAACCAACACTGCTACAAGTTGATCCATCAGCTACAATAACTGGAGAAGTTGCTTTGTGTGACCAAAAACTAGAAAAAATATTTGGATTACATGTCATGTGATTTGTGACACTTAAATCAATCACCAATTTAGTTGAAAATGTGATAAGACATGTTTTATCTTACCACAGCAAAATCAGTAACCGAAGAAGGGAATTTTAGGAACTCATCCGAAATCAAGATTGTTGGACTAGGAGACGTAGCCATAAGTCCATAAAATAAACAAAAGGGAACTTCAACAAATTGACCACAACCAGAACTTTACACAAATAAAGTTACCCCACGAATTACAGAATCAGAAGTTTACCCAATGAATTAGAGAACAAGTGAGAATCAAACAGAATAGAGTTCCAACTGATATAATCGAAAAGTTTCACCAAGAATTTGCTCAATTAGAACACTCAAAGTATCAAAATAATGAAAGAGGAACTAGTAAAATTCCACTAAAAAGATATCCCAACAACTCGCTAAAAGATCAAGTAACAGAGTCTCTCGTCTAACCCAATCGCCAAAATGATCTTCACTTGAATAAAGCTCAACAAGCCAAACATTCACAGAGGAGAATTTTACCAAGAATATGGAGTCCTTAGATAATAGATAATATTCAGACACCAAATCAGCAAACGGAAAGTAAAAAAAAATGATTTTGACCAAAGAAAACCAAATTGACAAAAGCAATGCTTTGAAATCTACCCAACCGACGTCTGATTAGCAAGAAACCACAAAAATTTGACCGGAAATATCGAGCCTATGTCAGAAATGAAACCCCGAACTGATTCCCTCGAACCTCCCTCGTACCAGACCTGGTCTATGACTTCCGGCGAACTTTCTGAACCAACGCCGACGAATCAAATGTCTCTGCTCTGATACCATGTAAAATATAGAGAAATTGGAGCAATCGCCTTGTCTATTATTCTAAAAAGTAACAAGTATATATACAAGTATATAGAACCCTAACTATAGAAAGAATTAAAAAAAAGGAAATCCTATAAATCTGGTGTGATTCTCTATAGGCTATGTATATTACATAAAAGTATGTCTACATTCTTTCTATAACATTGCTAAAAAGGGAAAATCCTGTATTAGGAGGTAAACAAGAGGGCCCAAGCTTTCCCTATCTTTCAGTTTGGATTTATAAATGCCGAGAAAGGTATGTTTGTTCTGCTGTTAACATGAATAACTGTTAAGGGGCAATCCTAACTTCTGAAAATTTGTGGAGTATGACTAAAGCATATGTCAGCATTCAACTGGTGCTTTATGTGCAAATGGTCCGGAGATGATGTAAACCATTTACCAGTCCGTTGTCAGATTGCAAGCCAGTTGTGGTGAATAGTACTGTACTAACCGTGTTTGGAATACAACAGACAACACTGGATACAATGAAGGATGTGATGTATAGCTTGTCCTTCAGAGGGAAACAAAAGGAGATGTAGAGCGTATAAAGTAGCTTCCTTGGCGCTTGTTGATACTTTGGAGGGACTATGGAGCATGAGAGCATTTGCTACTTTGTGGTGCATGTCACGCTGTATCATTAAAAGTGGAGTCTTAAGTATTCAAACACTCAAGTTGGTGGCCTAACAGTCAATGCAGTTGGAATGGACTACGGGAGACCTAGGTTCAAATCTCAATAGAGGCAAAAAAAAGTTTTAGGTGTTCTCTCATCTGCTTAAATCTTGGTAGATAGAGTTATCCGTTGCCTGTGCTGGTGGATGCAAATTATCTGATTATGCCTGGCAAAATTCTGAATATTCTCTGGAATCTAAATGCTCAGTATGTTTGGTATTTCCTGCTTAATGCCCTCATCATCAAACAGCTTTTGTGGTGCTGGAAACTGAAATGAAGGAGAGATTAGCAAATCATGATTTCCTCAAGCAGTTATGTTGAAAGATTCAAGAGTGGGAGCCGCAGCAAAGGAAATCAAAGGGTTTTGACCTTTTCCTTGTTTATGTGTCATAGTGATTCTTTGAGCACCACCTTGGTTGCTTCTCTAGTATGATAGTTAGCATCTTTAAATCAATGTTGTAGACATAAAGAACATCTACACTAAAAATAGCATTTCTGTCCTCACTTTCGGACTAATTATTTGAATTTGTATCCAACTGCAGCATCTGATCAATTGCTTTGTAATATTTACTTACATTGGCAAGCTCTTTACCTTTGTTTGTTATTCCCTGCTTGCAGTCTTGAGTTGCCTGGAAAATTAATGTCACCCTTTTCATTTACAGCCACCTGCTGGAAATTCTTGGCTTGGATCATTAATTGCTACTATAATTGGAAATCTCAAGATTTCAATTAGCAATGTCCATGTCAGATATGAGGATTCTGTCAGGTATGTCCGTGTCAGTTGTTGATGTCTTTCTAACCTGAGCTGAGTTTCCCCATTTCGTTCATTGTATTATATCTCCATTATTTAGTTTTTTAACTGTGATCTTTGATTTATGGCTTCTCACTTAGGTTGCTTTGTTTTTCTTTCTTTTGTATATAATGGGCGGCCACAAATTTAGCAATCCTGGGCATCCATTTTCTTGTGGGGTTACTCTTGCAAAGCTTGCAGCAGTTACGATGGATGAACAAGGGAATGAAACATTCGATACAAGTGGCGCTTTGGATAAATTGCGTAAGGTAAGTTGTTCTCTTTTTCATGCGAAAGATTGTTCAAGAAAATTGACTTTCTGGTCCCAAATTGGGATAATCTGTCTTCAAGGTCAGAGTGAAACAAAGTACTTGTATGCCATAATTGGCGTTGTTGTGCATGAGCATTCTAATGTTGTGTCTGGTTTGGGATATTGTTATTCCTTTTCCCGCTTTACAGTGAGGTAGATTACATAATGCCATTAAGAGAGTAGCTAGAGTTTTTTCATAGATTGCCCGCAATTACTTATTCAAATACAAGATTAGAGTTAGTTCAATTATCTTTGCATGTAAGCCCGACATTTGGCAAAGTGAAGAAGACTAAGAGATCTTTCAGAGAAATGACAATATTGCCGTCAATCGGAATCAGTTAGTAGGAGATGAAGATTTTTGAGTTTGCCTAGGAATGACGTGGATCTAAGAATGGATATTTTGAGACTTATCTAGTGGGTTGATTCGATAATTGGACCTGTTGATACAATTGGGAAGTGAGCTGCAAACTCATGAAGAGTGACATACGAAACTAAGGTGTCGAATTTTGGTGATTTCTGGGATACTTAAATACTTGTTTTTTTTTTTGATAACGAAAAAGATAATGATAAATACTTGTATTCCACCGATTCTGTATATCTAACCCCAGCTTTCTGTGTATTGCTAAATTTATTTAATTGGTCAAAGTAAAGGTAGGTTTTTCTTTCTTCTATTTGAACTGGCACACCTTTCTTTCCTTGGTTAATGAGTCCATAATGTTCTTCTGGCTGATTAACATCCTCTTAATTTGTTTCTGGTGTTCGATAGCATGCTTAATTGGTCTTGTATAGCATGTTTTCCGAAGCTGTATTCCGGGTAAACTTTGCGATCTGGTTATAGTGTTTCTGAGTTGCGGGTGTTTGAGGCTGTGAGTCCCTTCCGTGATATTCTATTGATTGATCTTGAGTGAGATTGTGAAGTCCTGTCTCACAAATTTGGTTTTTTCCAGTGTGGTTGACTTGTTTTTTTGCTTATTCACTGAAGCTTCAATTTCACTTACAAATAGGGAAAAAGATAAAGATAAATAAATATAAATATACTGGAAAAGTAATTTTAGAATATATTCAAGATAAAAATTTATATTTTCTTACACCAAATTTGTCTTGTTTTGTGTTCTATTATTTGAGAACATAGTACTGTTCCTTGTAATTGGTAAAACAGACATTAAAATTCCCTACTTAGGCCTCATTTGTTTTTTTTAAGATTAAGACGTCTGAATGTGAATACACATCTGAATATATTAAGATGTGTATTAAGATCTGAATACTAAATAATTAAGACTGTTTGATTTTTAACGTCTGAATATATAAAATTTATCTTTATTTGAAAATTAATAAACATAAAATTCAAATGAAATACTAACTAATCTAATATTCTATCAATAAAATATATAGTTTTTTAAATATGATAGTTGTTGGTTGTGATGGGTAACAGGTGAATGCCGACTAGAGGCGGTGGTTGGTGGTAGTTTTGGTTGATGGTGGTGGTTCGTGCTAGTAGCTAGTAGTGATTGGTAGTGGTGGCGATTATGATTGAGGATGGTGATGGTGATAGTTAATAATGGTGGGTGGTGGTAGTAGTTGTGACTAAGAAAGGTGGTGGGTGAGTGGTAGTAGGTTATAATGATGAGCAGTGCCGGCTGTGGTTGTTGATGGTGATGGGTGGTCAGTTGTGGCAGTTGAGGTGGATGACTATTGATTGTGGGTGAGAATGATGGTGGTCAGAGTGGTGGAGATAGTGGGTGGTGATGGTCGATAATGGTGGCGGTTATGAGTGAGGATGATAGTGGCATGGTGGTGGTGGGAGTGTTGGTGGTGGTGGTTGAGTGTTAGACCTCCAACAATTGAGCTCGACCGGACAACAAGAGTGTTGTCATGAGGCAGCAAGAGTGTTGCAAAGCTTGGCGCATGAGCAGCACCAATGTCAAAAATGGGAAACGGGCAAGTGATGTCCAAGGCTTTGACGGAGGCGAGGCAGCTTGGCAAGAGCTTGACAATGAGTTGCGGGCTAAGAATGGCACTTAATCACGGCAAAGGCATCAAGGCATGAGGCAGTGATGCCAAGACAAGGCAAAAACGGATGGGCAAAGGCAAGCAAATGTGCAACGGAAAGGCAGTGCGCGGGCAGACTTGTCATGCCATTGAGTTGCGGCAAACGGGCCAAGTTCGTGGGCGATGGCAAGGCTAATTGCGGCACAATGCAGCTGGATACAATGGCATTGGCGCCTGGTCCAGGCCATGGCACGAAATTGGGCAGCAAGTCTTGGATTGACAAAGTCAAAGGCGGTTATCGGCACATGCTGTGCACATGGGCAGCAGTTGAGCATTGTCCAAAAAGCTGGCAGGAGTTAGCACGTTTTTGAGGGCCATAATCTCATTATCTTTAGCATGATTTACATGATCCTAGTAGTTGGGGATGTCAACTACACTAAGCTAAAGTAGTGGGCTGACTAAGCAAGTGCCTAAGCCTAAATATAGGCAACTTTTGTGTAAATGGGGCTGGTTCATATGTTATAAATGGACAACACCCTTCCCTTTTTGAAAGAGAGAGAGAAAAACGTGTGAGAGCACACAATTGAGTTAGGAAGGAGTCCAAAACCTCTTTTCAAGAGTGAAAACAACCTAAGGCTAAGAGTAGTCTTGTGAGGGTCAAGAGTGATCTTCATTTTGTACACGGATGTACTACGGAGTTTGAGTTTTCTTTGTATTCTCGAGTTAAATACAAAGTTGGGAAAGAGTTTCCTGTATATTGTGCCTTTTGTTCACTTTAATTTTCTGTCCCTTCATTCAATTTTCCGTTGCCTAAAATCAGTATCTACTTACTACGTTGAAAGCTGCCTAAATAAATCTAAGTCCAAAGTTGCAGAATTTTGGCCGAGTGTTGGAACAGGCTGAAGTCAAGTCGAGACTTGGCTGCCGCGCAGGCTGTTTTTGTGGAGCATAAAACACCCCTGTGACATTGAGTATGGTGGTGGCGGCTGCATGGTGGTAGTTGATAATGGTAGGCGGTGACGACAGTTAATAATGAATATGTGGTAGCATCTTAATGAAATTAAGTCTCTGTTATAGATGTTAATCATACAGACCTATTCAGACCCATTAAGTGGTTGTGAAGTAAAATAAACAAACACACTTAATCTGAATAATTAAGATTCAGTCTTTAAAAATAAACGCACGTAATGTCTGAGATCTGAATGATTAAGATTTAGACCTCCATTAAGTGCAAACAAATGAGGCCTAGAATGCTTTATGATTACTTTTCTTGGAGCATGCTACATACCACAAGTGGTTGGATTTCCTGGTTTTCAACTGTAAATGTATTTTAGTATTGCAAAGAATAACGACCATGATAGCTGAACTGGGTGCATTTTTTTGGTTTATAGTTGGTGCAACTTGAAAGGCTTGCCATGTACCATGATTCAAACAGCAAGCCATGGAAGTTGGACAAGAAATGGGAGGATCTTACTCCAAAAGAATGGATTGAGGTACATTACTATTTTGTCTCTTACTTTCTGTTGTCGTATGACTGTGGTTAGAAAATATGCCTCTGACTTACATGTTCATGTTAGCCATTGGATAGGATTCATGTCCACTCCCATGATATTCTCTCTTTATTCCTTTCTAATCTCTTTTCGTTGCTCAGATATTTGAAGATGGTATTAATGAACCTTCAAATAACAGTAGAAACTTATCTGGATGGGCGGAAGATCGCAACTACTTGGTGTCACCAATTAATGGGGTCCTCAAGTATCATCGTCTGGGAAATCAAGAAAGAAATGATCCTAATGTTCCCTTTGAGATGGCTTCTCTGATCATCAGTGACGTATCGTTGACCGTCAATGAGGTGCTAGTCTTTCTCCTTGTTTTGTTGCTAAATCTTTCTAAATAATTTGTGATAATTGTTCTGTTTTAAGAAATGCCAAATGAAATGCAATCCATGAAAAATCAAAGCACTTGGACACCACACTTGCATCATACAGTGCCCTAGCGCCTTTACTATGTTTTACAGCACCTATTTATTTCGTTTGTATCTTAAAACACAGTGCTCTTGAGTTTCTTTATTCACGTTCCTATTCTCTGTCCTCTTCAATCCTTATCTGTTACTATCGATTTATTACAATTTCCTAAATCTTTATCCTAAAGCCGACATAATATTCTTCCTCTGAATCCCTAGTAATTGCTTTAATTGCCCCTGACAGGAATAAACAAGTTGGCTTGGAGAGATTACTTTTCATTTTCTTGTTCTACTTCTCTTTTACTCTCTTGCTTATAAAACCTACTATTTCTATGAAGAAAGGTCTGGGGTTTTCTACCTTTGACCTTTTCCAAATTGCTACTGAAAACTGTGAGACTTGATCCCATCAAATTCGTCCCTTTACTTTCCTGGTACTCGAGAAACTTCTTAGTTGTGTTCTGACTTTAAAGCTCTTTCTTTTTGTACACTTTCTTTGGGTTGCTTTGATGAAACAGGGGATCTCCACTACTTTCCCAACATCTAATGGAAAGGGAAAGAAATAGAAAGTAACTTTTATTGTTCAGTTGTTGTCTGGTAGCAATGATTTGAGTTCAAATAATGTCAACCATTACAGATCTACTTCCCCAACATCTAATGGAAGGGGAAAGAAATAGAAAGTAACTTTTATTGTTCAGTTGTTGTCTGCTAGCAATGATTTGAGTTCAAATAATGTCAACCATTACAGGTTCAATATCATGATTGGATAAGACTTATGGAGGTCATTACAAGATATAAGACATACATTGAAGTTTCTCATTTGAGACCAATGGTGCCCGTTTCAGAGGATGTCAGTAGTTGGTGGCGGTATGCCGCTCGTGCAGGATTGCAGCAGAGGAAAATGTGGTAAGTGTTTGGTGTTCTTAAAATGATATTTTTGAGAAAAGGGTAAGTATTATAAATGTTGCACGAATTTTGCTTGAAATTATTATGGAATGATCCAGTTTCACATGAAATCAGCACGAGTGTGTCTAGTCACTAATCAAATCCTCTTTACACCAAAAAGAAGACAAAAGTATACAGTTGTCTTATATCTCTGCATAGAGCTAAGCATCTTGCATTTCGCTCTTTTCAAATAGTCCACCATGTAATGGCGAGGATATTTCTCCACCATTTCTGTTCTTCTTTTGGCATGTCTGTTCTATGCCAACTTCTCATCTAATCAGTTGTATCTTCAGGCGTTGTCCATTTACTTCCCAGCATATTCAGAAATAAATTCCATAATTGTGAAACAATAGGATATGCAAGAACAAATGGTTAATGATTTCTGGATTTTTTCCACAAAGATGGCACCTGTTACAGAGTTGAACACCTTTTTTTTGGAGGTTATCCTGTGGCTCAAAACAAGCCACTTTGAGTGGTGACTTTGATCTCCATATGTTCTTCCAAGGACATGAGTTAGCATTCTGTGGTTCAGCATCTAAAAACTTGTAATAAGAGTTAAAGAGAAAAGGATCCAGATGTGTAGCTGGTGATCGTAAATGATTTAAACATCTTTTCTTTTGGTGTTTCAGCCTGGATTGGGGCTTTGTGAAGTGTGGATGGAAATTTATCTTGTAAAGTAAAAATCTAGGTGATAACAAAAAGGACAATGTAGTTAATCTAAAGCACAAATGTATATTTTTACTTAATTTTTGGTGCAACATAACCTCAGCAAATGTTTTAGAGCCGGAAGCGTTGGCTGAGTTTCTTAGTTCTTTACCCTAACTGTAAAGTTATCTTTTAGTTGTACTTCTATCCAACTTTTTCTTAAAGTTGGCCCCCTCTTTACATAAAGTAAAAATCTAGGGACAGTTATATTTATTGACCCTCAGGCCTCAACTGGTAGGCCTCTTGTACTTCTGTCTCCAAGTATAGCATCCAAAAAAATAAAAAAAATTCACAGCTCTATAGATTGCCACCATGTTGTCCTTTCCTCTCCCCATACCATTTAACTCCTGCTTTAGCAACCTTTGTTCAAATGCTTTTCTGCAGCTTTGTATATCTGATTGTCTACCTGGACAATGGACATATCACCAAACATAGGAATAATTGAATGAGATAGTGCAGGAAGACAATAAACAAGTAGACTTGCAATATTCAGGAGAAGATTTTTTAAAATTGTTTGAGAAATCAAATGGAAAAGGCATAAGTACACCCCTAGACTGTTATATATGACGAGATAAATAGATGGCTATTATACAGATTTTGTACCCCTTCCCGTGATAGTTGACGTAATGCTTATGGCAAATGCAACATTCAAAGGAAAAGAGATAGTAGAAGAATTATGAAAGGCACCAGAGACGACTATGGGAAGGGGGAGAATATAAATGTTAATGGTAAAATAGGAAAGGCTGAAATACGATGACCCTATATACATTTATATACTGAATGCTTTTGACACCATCTTGATTGTATCTGATGATCATTAGAAGAAAGGATAACACAAAGAAATGCTTTTGACACCATCTTTGCTAAGATTTTGCTGTCTTTAAGTGAATTATTTTGATCTGTTGGATATATTGTTCATGTTTCATTCACCAAAAGAAATTGTTTGGTTGTGCCCTTTTGCAGCTATAGATTCTCCTGGGACCAAATTCAAGCCCTATGTCATCTTCGTCGGCGTTATGTACAATTATATTCTGATTCATTGCAACAGCTGCCGAATATTGATAGCTCAGAGATCAGAAACATTGAGAAAGATCTTGATCCTAAGGTTATTTTGTTATGGAGGTAGGTTACATAATGTTTGTTCTTATTACCCGTACGTTTTTTCATGTTTCTTGATATTGAAATAGCTGGTGATTAACCTCTTCATTTTGACTCTTATTATTGCTTTCCGTTTTTCCTGTAAAATTGTCACTAAGCTGATGTGGGTTTTGGGGGGGCTTAGCTAGGCAGTACACGATGATGTTTCTTTGTCTTGTTTTTTTTTTTTCCATAATTTTTT